CAACCTCTGCATCCTGGCAGGAGGGCTCTGGGGCTTTGCTGATGGCCTCTGCCATCAGGGTCAGAGAGAGACCCTCTCTAGGGACAGACCCCAAGTTAAGGGGTCCGAAGATCCCCTTGGCAGACTCAGCCCACCAGAAGCTGATGTCCTTAAATCCTCAAAGGTGTGAAGGAAGGGCTGCAGTCAGGGGTGTGCGGCCTAGAGGCCAAAGGGGCAGGGCGGCACCTTCCTGCCAGGAGCAGACTTGGAAGGCCCACAGGGAGCCTAAGGGAGCCCAGGGCGCCCTGAGGGGCTGGGACCTCAGGCTGAGGCAGCAGAAGCCGGGCTGGGAGAAGCGTGGAGGGCAGCAGAATGGGAGAGGCAGGGCCTGTAGGACTTGCAATGGCTACTGGGGTTGGAGCTGGGTGCAGAGGAGGCAGTCAAGTTGACTATGGCCAAATTTGGTTGTGACCCCAAAGAAGGCACGTTCTCAGCGAGGGAGGCCAGAGTCCCTAGACTCTTGGCCCTTCGTTGGGGTGGTCCCAGTAGCTGGCACAGCCCTCTGGGGGCTCTGGAAGCTTCTCTCTCGGGGCCTCTTCAGCAGATCAGCAAGTATCGCTGGCCTTGAAAAATGGGAGAGCAGCTGATTGGGTAAAGGGGCTTCCCTGGGGCAGCCTGTCCTCCAGTCCCAGAGATCTCTGAGGCAAGTTCCCAAGGGTGCCCACGTCAGTCAGCCAAGTTGCCAGTCCGAACCACGCTGTTGGGTGAAGTCCCTTTAAAAAGGCCCATCTAGGGGAGGGAGGGGGCTATACATGTGGGGGGTTTTGTTTTTGTTTTTGTTTTTAATTTGGCCAACTTAGAGCTTCGGTTCTTGGGTGGCTGTGAGTCCCACCGCTTCACTCCCAGTACCCTATCTGTACCGGTGGGGCTGGGCCTAGGCTCCATTCTGGGCCACCACTCTGGAGATATGAGTGACAGGGTCAGGTGGGGTGGGGGAGGCAGACACATGGACGGGCAGTTTTCACTGTGGGAGAGATGGACAGAGACAGCTGGCTGGCTGGGAGTTAGGGTTAGACCTAGTACAGGGCAAGAGGGACAGGAGGGAGAGTTGGTCACCCAGCTCGGCTCAGGGCTCCTCCTTGTGCCCGGGGGGCATCTGCACTCTAGGGGGCAAAGTGGGTAGCGTGTAAAAGGTAACAGGGACACTGGGGGTGCATCCCTTGCTCCCTAATCTCCTCCCTGCTCGCTTTGTCCCCTTCCCACCCACCCTCCACTTTACAGCCTCTCTGGCCTTCCCCAATCCCTGTTCTGGAATCTGGACAAGTGGGGTTTTAAAAGTCTGTGAAACACTTCACTCAGTGGATTTGCATCTCCTCTACATCCCATCTGAGGTGGCAGGGGAGCACACCTGCCTCATCTCGCTCTCCACGGCCCGCTTTGAGCCCTGACTTCCTACCTCACTGGGGCAGGGTGGGAAGTGAAGGAGTTCTGCAGGCGGACAGGAAGGGAGAAATGGATGGAAAGGAAAAGCCGCTGCCTTTGAGCTCTCCAAGCACTCTGGGCAGCCCACCTCCAGCCCAGCTGCCTCCTGTCCTGTCAGAGAATCCTGGTAGGGGGTGACCTCACCAGCTCCTGCTGCCTCCAGCCTTCACCTTAGGAGCAAATTGGGGGGAGGGGGGGATGGGCTAAGTCGTCAGAGCCCCTGGGTGTGGAGGTTTGGAATCAGCCAAAGGGGGTGTGGTTGGAGCGGAGGGGTCAAAAGCAGGGGCCCAGAGAGAAGGGCGGGTTAAGGTGGGGAGGGCAAGTGCACGGCAGGACAGCCCAGGAAGTGGACTGAGAAGCTAGGCAGAAGTCCTAGCAGGGAGCTGGGCCTCTAACCCAGATGAAGCTGCAGAGAGCAAACAGTCCTGGCCCCTCAGGAAACGGCGGTTCAGTGCTGCCTTTGCCCGGAGGAGCTGCGTGACCTTGGCTAGGTCGCTTTTCTCCTTGAGCCACGGTTGCCTCATCTGTCAAGTGGGGTTGGAAAGACCCCCTCAGTCTGTCTTGCAGATGAGCATGTGCATGTGAACATCCTTTGAAAAGGTTGAAAGGCGCCATTAATACTCATTTTCGCGGTACCTTCCGCAAATCCGAGGCTGGCGATGCCCAGTGCAGTTGCCTGGCTTCAGTTAGCTTCCTGCAGCGAGACGCAAAGCCCCCTGCGCCAAGCCGCGCGGTTGCGGCGCCCCTGCCCCTCCCACCCCTCGCTCACGCGGGCGGCATCAGGGTCACCGGCCGGGGGGCTTGGGGTGGGAGAGACGCGGCTCACCGCGCCTGGAACCGGGGCCCTGGTCTGACGGGCGGGCGCCAGTTTTCTGCTTCACCTCCGCCCCCGCCCCCGCCCCCCCACCAGCGCCCCGGGATGCCGTCTGGAGCCCGGATGCCCCACCAGGGGGCGCCCATGGGCCCCCCGGGCTCCCC